ATTCCTCATCCGACGATTTGGCCTCGATGATTCTCTGACTTTGCTATCATGGGTAAGTTCTTTGCTCTCTCTCTTAATTCTCCGACTCCCATCGCGGGTGCAGATCCCTCCCCACTGGTGTAGCATCGTCGACAAAACTGACAGATCGGTTAGGTTTGCTTGGTAGTATTCGTTGGCCTGTGCATCAGGCTCATCCAGCTGGGTTCTGGACGACATTTCGCCTATATCGAATATGTTCTCGACATGCCGACCATTGAATACACCGAAGTTCTCGACTTTGGCGCCCATATCGTCTATACCGTTGCGCTGTTGTTCTGTCGAATGTCCGGTTTGGCCTTCTATCACCGACTGTGCGCCGTACACGACCGTCTTCGACTCTCCATCAAGATCGTGTTTGGGATTTTGATCGCTGGTTTCCTACCACAAGTTTTCCTTATCATCTTTCATTGCACGCCTGTTACGGGGCTTTGGCCGTATGAGTGGCAGCCTGATTTTGACAAGTATACCTGCTTGCAATGGGGACTGGTTTATAGCGTCAATTCGTCGGTGTCGCTGGTCTGCGACTTGTTGCTCTTTGGTATCCCAATTGTGATGCTTCGGGTATTGGAGATGCCAAGAAAGCGAAAGATTCAATTGGGGTGCATTCTTTTGCCTGGTATTAGTGTTATTGGCATCTCTATCACACGACTGGTGTTTGTCATTGAAGGGCAATGGAACGCCGACGAGTCTTGGGCTTGTAAGTCAATCACATATCAGCAAGAAAACTTGTCTAACACCTCGCAGATAACCCAATGCTGGCCATTGAAGTCAGTGAGATCGGCGCCACTCTCATCGCCCTCTCAGTCCCAGGCGTCAAGCCCCTGTTCGACAAGTTCATCCTCCGACGAGACATCACCCAGGGCGAGAGCACAGGAAAGTCACGATACGCACAGCAACACAGCTCCAAGGGCGGCACAGCACTTCGATCACTCCACTTCCGCCCCGAACACGACGTCCTCACCAGTCGCGACACGTCTGCCGAGGGGATCAAGACGTATCGCAGCACGAAGAATGTATCGGCGGATAATACGAGTGAGAACAGTGCGGATGGCATTTTGGTGCAGGTGGACTTTAGGATAAAGGAGGATACGCAGGACTCCAAAAGTGGGAGCGATGCTGGGCGGTCGTGGAAATAATGGAATGGTCTGGTTTCTTTGATGTGTGTTATGTATAAGTAAAAGTATTGGGATGGATTGCAAGCGATGACATTCAGGACGGCAATGATTGAGCGACTTTCTTCTTCTTCTTCTTCACGAATACTCTTTATGATACGGTGATATTGGATCAACTTGACACTCACTCATATTCCGTGCCTCTTCTCTGCTTCTTTTGATGTTCGGTTCTAAATGACAAAAAGACTTGGGTAGCTTTAGTACATCTTAACCATCCGTCAGACCAGTTTATTTTCACACCCTGCGGCCTGTCTCCCGACACGGCGGAACACGATCTTCAATGCGAACTGTCAGCATCCTTCCAACTTCAATGCACAAATTATTACATGCACGTCAAATCCCACTTCTAGAAGGATTCATCTCTTCTTTCGTAACAGAAACAATTCCACCTTCCATATTAATTTCATCTTCTCCATCAGACACGGCATTAACGAACCGAATATGAAGAGCCATTATATGATTATCAATCTGCGCGACTTTTCGAGCCTGACAATGCCTCGATCGAGTTTAGGCCTACCGTAAACCACAGTCCACTAAATCCTTTAGCGGCGCAGTCCGCTAAAAGCTTCTGTCAGGGTCCCCCTCCCCGGCTTGGCTGCCCCCACCCATCCCGGCTTGACTGATCCGTGGTAATCTTTCCAACAGATGCGAGGGAACCAGTGACCATGACATGGGGAATTGAATTGAATGCAAGGCCATGACATGACATTTTCTTTAGTTCAGTTAACGACGTTGTCTAGTGGCCGAATGTGCTCCCGCAGCCTCCGTCTTCGCCGATTCCCAAGTTCGCCGCTGGGGCAGCACCCTTGTAGGAGTAATTAATTAATTAATTAATGAATGAATGTGCATAGCTTACCTTACCTGTCTAGGGAATAAACAAAACAGCTTCTATTCCCTCCCTCTCTTTGCTCTGAACACCACAGCCTTTCCGTTGCTCATCAAGTACTGTTCATCATGAAGCTTCTCGGGTTGTCGTTGGCCACGGGCCTCATCGCCCAGGGCGTGAGCGCTACACCTAAGCAGTCCAAGAATGAGCCTCTGTTCGCGATCCAGCCCAACATGATCCCGTTGGAGCAGAATGCTGGGTCGCCTGATTTGTTCCCCATGCCTGACTGCAATGGCTTCAAGCTTGAGGAGGCTACTTTCACGGAGATGCAGGATGCTATGAAGGCTGGCAAGCTTACTTCTGTTCAGCTTGTGACTTGCTACCTTATGCGCACGTATCAGACCAAGGAGTACCTCAAGTAAGTCTACTGAAAAGGCCAATTGCATGGCCAATTGATGCAATTGATACCTTGAACACAGCTAACAGTGCGCAGCTCTGTTCTCCAGGTCAACCCCGATGCCTTCGCCATCGCAGCAGAGCGCGACGCCGAGCGCGCAAAGGGCAAATGCCGTGGTCCTCTGCACGGCATTCCCTTCACTGTCAAGGACAACATCGCCACCAAGGACAGTCTCGAGACCACCGCCGGCAGCTGGGCGCTCCTCGGCAACGTCGTCCCCCGCGATGCGCACGTCGTCAAGAAGCTCCGCGACGCTGGCGCTGTCCTCTTCGGCAAGGCTGCTCTCAGCGAGTGGGCTGATATGCGCAGCAACGATTACTCTGAGGGTTACTCTGGCCGCGGTGGTCAGGTTCGCAGCGCTTACAACTTGACTGTTAACCCTGGTGGCAGCTCTTCTGGCAGTGCTGTTGGTGTTGGTGCTAATGCGATTGCGTTTTCGCTCGGTACTGAGACCGATGGCAGTGGTGAGTTTTACTGAAGCTGTATTCTGTGGATTGCGCTGACGGTGTCGCAGTTATTAACCCCGCCAACCGTAATGCCCTCGTTGGTATTAAGCCTACTGTTGGTCTTACTTCTCGCGCAGGCGTCATTCCCGAGAGTGAGCACCAGGACTCTGTTGGTTGCTTTGCCAAGAACGTCAAAGATGCTGCTCTTGTTCTTGATGCTATCTACGGCGTTGATAAGCGCGACAACTACACCGAGGGCCAGAAGACCCCCAAGGGCGGTTATGCGAAGTACCTCACTGATAAGAAGGCTCTTAAGGGTGCTACCTTTGGTCTTCCCTGGAAGAGCTTCTGGGCCCTTGCCGATGAGGACATGCAGTCTCAGCTTCTCGAGCTCGTTGAGCTGATCAAGTCTGCTGGCGCCACCATCATCAATGGCACTGAGATCACCAACTACGAGACCATTGTCAGCCCTGATGGATGGAACTGGGATTACGGTACTACTCGAGGATTCCCCAATGAGTCTGAGTATACCTACATCAAGGTCGACTTCTACCGCAACATCGAGACCTATCTCAGCGAAGTCAAGAACACCAATGTCCGCAACCTTGAGGACATCGTCAAGTAAGTGCGCTGAGTATCAATTGTCTAAGTATTACTAACCATTTCAGGTTCAACAAGCAGTACGACGGTGTTGAGGGTGGCTACCCGTATAAGGACGGTAAGGGAATTCCCGCTTTCGCCTCCGGCCAAGACGGTTTCCTCGCCTCTCTCAAGTCCAAGGGCGTCCAAGACGAGAAATACTGGCAAGCCCTCGAGTTCTGCCAGACCTCTTGCCGCAAGGGTATCAACGATGCTCTCACCTACAAGGGCAAGAAGCTCTCCGGTCTTCTCGTCCCTCCCCAGGTCGCACAGGCTCCTCAGATCGCCGCCCAGGCCGGTTACCCCGTCATCACCATCCCCGGCGGTTATGCCAAGGACTCTGGAATGCCCTTCGGTCTCGGGATCATGCAGACTGCGTGGGCTGAAGCTGAGCTTGTCAAGTGGGCTAGCGCAATTGAGGATCTTCAGCGATCTACTGATGCTCCCTCGAAGCGTCGTCTTCCCAAGTTCCTTGGATACCTCGAGCGCAACGTTCCCGTGCCCTTTTAAGCCGCGAGCCAATTGATGCGCATTTTGGATCGTATATAATAGTAGATAGCAATACGTAACTTTTAATGATGTTATGGCTGAAGCCTCAATCAATGCCTACGGTCGCAATCGGACTTGCGTAACAGAAACAGAGGACATTCCATGATAGCGCCAGGCTGAACTCTCGACGATGCACTTGAGTAGAACGAGCAGCCATGTTTACGGAAGGGGGACAATATTTCTGCAAAACAATTATATGTCAAGTAAAAAGATCGAATGACATGCGGTAAAAAGATGAGGTCCTACCCGGGTTCGAACCGGGGACTTCGGAAGAATTTGAATGGTGATCAAAATCCAACGTCCTAACCACTAGACTATAGGACCTTGGGTAGAATGGCAGGCTCCAAAAGACGTGTACAAGCCAAGCCCGTTCACACTGGAGTAAGCGGCAAAAAGCGAGGTCCTACCCGGGTTCGAACCGGGGTCTTCGGAAGGCTTCTGAGGGTATCAAAATCCGACGTCATTACCACTAAACTATAGGACCAGACGATGCAAAGGCGTCAAGATGTGGTGTTTATATACGCCACCCGTACGTTTTAGCAACGCCAGACCAAGGATTGCTGATGTTCTTTACTTACTTTTAATGGGAAAATATCATCAAGATCAATGTAACTCAGTTTTGGGTTTGGTACATTACATTCTTTTACTAAATGTCAGAACAGGGTTCAGTATAATTTGTCAATTGTGCTCTCTGTCCAACAGTCTACTCCACGGCCCAGAGTCCTACTCCAGATCGGTCTGTCCGAAACTCCGAAAATATCATTTACCATATCCTTTGTCTATCAAATGTTTCAAGCAACCTCCTATAAACTTAGTCCAGCTAAAAGTGAGTCCCTAGACGTCATCAACAGTCACCCGTGTCCCTCGACAACTTACCCTTCATAAGACTCCTCCTGATCATAAGGACGCATCTGGTACCAACCGTTTTCCTTGATCTGATTCTTCACAGCCGGAGGGAGTACTTCAACTGGCTCACGACGGAGAAAGCCCTCATCCTGAAGACGAGCGACCAAGTTCTCAGGCTTGGGAAGACGGACCCGGACGGTAAGCTGCATGATGTCACCAAAGACAGTGAAGGCGTTGCGGCCATAGACAAGGTCGAGGCCATCGCGGAGGCGATCTAGTCCGAAGACCAGAGTCGGGTTGATGTTGTGTTCGTAGGTTTCGCGGCCACGAGGGATATTTTTAAGTTCAAGGCTATCGCTGCGATCACGACGTTCACGGCGGTCTTCGTTGCGTTCGCGGTCACGGTCACTATCGCGGTCACGGTCACTGTCGCGGTCACGGTCACTGTCGCGGTTGCGTTCGCTGTCGCGGTTGCGGTAACGCTTGAGTATCTCAAAGACCATGATTCCGGCTGAAGTAAGAGAGATGAGTCAAGATGAAGTTACTGAATGCTGGTGGTGAGTAGGTACTGATGATGACAAGTTGTGTGATAGCAGTGGGTGGAAACCCAATGTGAGTGTTGGTAAGTGGAAAAGAGATGACTGATAGGGAGAGGACGAAGAGGTGCAATATAAGTGAAAATCGAACAGTGCAATTTGACTCGTCTTGTGTGACTGTTCTTCAGCTTCACTGTTGTATTGAGGCTGGTACAGGTCCTGCAGTTCAATCAGAGACTCTGTTCTATGCACTGCTGTTTGTTCGCAGAACACTAAGTACTCTTGATCATCCAAACAACAATCTAGCGTTCGTCCGACCATCGACAAGTCCAATGCGGCTCCTCAGTATGGAAACCAAATAAGAAACTAATCTCATTGTCAGCATTCAAGCCACCTTTCCCTTGTTCACACCGCCAACTCCAACCCCAGCCAAGAACAAAGCCCTCACAACAGCAACCCAACCAGTGAACAGATAGTTCCCCCAGTCTTGCCATCTGAACATTGACAACTCAGACCGACCCTGTTGTCTCATACTGACAAAGACACTGATCAAGATCGCAATGTCGATGAGAAGCACGCCGCCAATGACGACTCTCCATACTTTGATGTCTGAGCTAACTCTTAGAAGGACTGCCAGCATGATGGCGACAAACGCGTATAGTGCAGCCAGTTGGTGGAATAAGAAGGCCTGGTCTGGGTTGTACGCAGACATGCTCAGTGGGATGAGGCCATCGAGAATGAATTCGGGAGTGAAGATGAGAGCGTAGACGGTTGGGAGGACGGTCAGTGGATCAACCCAGGTGAACCAGACGCGGTAGAACGTATGGACGTTGAGTTCAGACATGGTAGCTACTTTGGCGGGTTCTTTATTTCAAGTAAAGTGAGATAAAATAATCAGTTTGAAGAGAGAATTTATAGGAAGCAAATCGTAACCTGTGGGGTAGCGTCAGCAGAGGTGCGAGACCAGATTGCACATCTCGTCTTATGTCAGCTGACAATCAGAACTCGGAGAATTGCCATATAAGGCAGATTTCCCACTCAAGATACGAGAATGGTCAAGAAAGGTCTTTCTGTTGTTCAAATTCTTCCTATGCCATGCAATTCATCCGCTTATTGAAGGCCATGGGTGATTTCAGTGTCCAAGCTATCAGGGCTAAACCACCACTCAAGTACTCCAGCCCAGGGCACCCCTAGCCATATAAATCCTCCCTCTGGAGGTGCGACTCTTACGACAGCTACATGTGAAGGTTCCCGCGAGCTCTGCTCCGGCTTGGTACCAAAAAAAAGTCCCGTTGAGTCGCCTCTTGTGAGCGGCGTCTCAGCCCAGTCAAACCGAAAGCACCCAACGCTAGCCTCAGTACCATCAGCGTACCGGAACAGTAGCCCAGTCACCTTTCTGTAGGGGGTTTCAATAAAACGGCGGTTTTCCCAGTCAAGTTCTAGGATCATGCCCATATCCTTCTGATTCTTGCTCTTGCAGACAAGGACTTCTGTGATGTTTTCCAAGGACGCGGAAGAGTAGTGTATAGTACGGAGCGGGTTGAAGCTTGGCATGGTACAAAGTGGTGTTTGTCTCAACGAAGGGGCGGCGGTCTGATTGTCTAGTAATCTCGGTGCAACTATCAGAGGAATTCCATGGTCTGAGGGAGAGAAGAAGACTCGAAGTGGAGCGTTCGCGGATGTTTTCGCTACCAGGTTCCAGTGATGATGTTTGAGATGTTGCGAGGATCGTTCGTCTGGGAAACTTCCGGCAACCATGTTTCGACCTTTGCTCGTAACAAGCTGAGATATCGTCAGTTGAGTGGCTTATTGATTTCGAGAGTGATGGGAAACCTTACCGCAAGAGCTATGTCACTGTCTCTCTTGTATTCCATGAATCCCCATGGTGTCGACCGACGAAAATGCCAATCGCCCTCACCTTGAGAAGGGAGAGGCCGAGTCGTATCATATTTCTCGAACCCTCGTAGCCAGACCTCTCGAATGAACTCATCTTCTTGGACAGGATAGTAGGTCCATTTGAAGAGACTTCGGTCGTCATATTCAGAGTGCTCATTCATTCGCGTACGGTCGGCTTCTCGATGTTCCATGTTGCGATGAACATGAATTGAGACCATCTCTAAGTTGGCCCAACACACGGAATATCCAGTGGTACCAGGCTCATTGAAAGTCAGTGTTCTTAACCTGGCCTCAAGACCTCCTTCGCCCCAACCAGCATAGTAAAATGTCATTGAGTCGAGTTCAGACAGCGTTACTGGACGAGGCCAGAGAACTTGAGGGTAGATCGAAGGAGTCAACAGCTTTCGAAGCTTGAGGCCCTACGCATACTGAGTTAGCTTCTGGTACACTAAGCGGTCTCGAGTACTTACATCACTCTGGAAAGTAAGAGTTGGGTTGTTCACCGATACTGTTTGCCAATAGGATGGATACGCAGTATCTGAAGTGGCCTCGTTTGGGTCTAGAGTGACCTGTCTGATCCCCAGGTGGTCACTGGAGATGTACAGATTCCTGCAATCTGACGGAGTTATCAATTTCGCACTCTGACGGCTCGCAATACCGGAAGGATTCGTCAGTGAACGAACGTACTCCACATCATCCATTCTGACGACTGTGATCAACACTGGAAGTGACAGATCAACAAACCACTCAGTTTTGCGATGCTGTAAAGAAAGTTCCGCAATGGAGTAAAGTCTGATCAATTCGTCATCGCCAGACACGACATGCCAAAGCTCCGGTGGTAGCTTGCCATATGTTTTATGCAGGGAAACCTCTATCGATTCACGGACACGGCCTCTCCGGCTTTCATGGCTCAACGAGACATGACGATAAGAGGGCTTGGTGATAAGCCGCCACTCGTGGAGAGGAGTTCCAAAAGGAGCGACCATATCAACGCATTTCGCGTGGAAAGTAACGGCGAGTCCCCTGCTATGTTTACAGTATGGATAGACGCAGTGTCGGAAGGACATGTTGAGAGACTTATCGATGTAAGGAGGACCATCGTCTTCCTCTGAATAGATATTGAACGGTGATGACACTTGTTCATCTGGAGTTACTACAGTTGGTCAGTCAAACGCCAGAGATGCCACTCGATGTCTTGAACTTACAGGCAACAATGTTCTCTTCCTCCCGGTTGATGGGGAAGCGGCACAGTTGGCAGAGGCTCGCATCGACACATACTGGGTTTTGAAGTTGATTTTCGCCGGACATGTTTTGTGAAAGAGCAGAATCGCCCTCTGGTCGGACCTTGAGTGCCCCAGGAAGAAGAACGACGGGGTTTCAGTGCGAGTGTCACAGATTCATCGTAGAAGAGATCAAGTCTGACCAGCTCCGAGGAGTTACTTTGGGTGCTAGAGTGAGGAGAGCTCAGACATACCCAAGCTGAGGTGGTGACGTAGAACAACTAACCACGAGAGAGAAACTTGACAGTGAATCAGTCCCCCCCTTCCTGTCAGTTGACTTCAGCCCGCTGCTTCATTTTTATAGCGGTTTATTGCCCACTAATCATTATATGTCGATTGCTGCCTGTAAGATTTAGCTGTAGGCTGCTACAACATATGTTTTTCATAATGTGATTCTGAAAAACGCTAAATTTTCTGAAGCTATCTTTGGTAGTTCGTACATGATCAACGCTTTACATTCTATTCAGGTGCTCAACCTCTGCATCAATATCCAACTCTGGATAGTCTAAGGATGTCTTAGGGCGTTCCAACCGCGGCGTCCTCCGCCGTCGTGGGGGATGCTTCCTTTCCCAAATGTCTCTGTAGACTTTCTTAATTGGAATAGCATCTCCCGGGTCTACTCGAACTCTGTTTTCGGAGGTTGGTAAGATAGGGAGCGGACACTTGGTATCGGCGTCCTCGGGGTCTGCAAGAAGGAAGGATATCAAGGCTGATTGCTGGGCATCGAGAAGCTGACAGATACGGAACGTGACTCTTGCGCGGGTACATTGAAAGTATACGTTGGGCTCATCGTCACCCGTCCATGCTTGTGAACGGTCAAAGAGTGCTATCCCGCCTAGGATACGATTCTCGGCCCAATATCCAACTATGTCATCGACACCGTTTGGGTATCGGTCATGAGCAGTGAATTGAGTTGCAATGAACATTGTCGGCTTCGGTGGAAACCGGCAAAAATCATCGGGAGGTCGCTCCCACTTGATGGTAGACTCAACATCATGGCCGGCGGTTGTAGCAGGGTCGTGGACTTTCTCTAGCTGTGATAGTTGAACACCAATTTCGTGTAGAGCGCATGCAGTCATCTCAATCAGTCGTAGCTGAAAGGAACGAGAGGAAGGGTTCGCCTTTTGATACGCATTCAACTTCTGTACGATGTTAGCAAATAGAACAAGTGATTGAGAGTTGCTGGGAGCATACCTCCAGATCAACCATCACATCAGCCATAGAGAACTGTGCACGGAAACCTTTCGCCTTCTCTAACGTTCCTTCGCAGAGCGTTTTGTGATTGATTATAGGATGAAAAGGTTCATATGTGGCCGAGTATCGGTCCCAGACAACATCAGCGGTTGGAAGACCGTCGATAATCTGGGCGAAGGTCACAAGCGCTGTATCAGTATTAAGAACATTGCGGAGGGCTACCGACAAAGAATCATAATGATACCCCTCAAGTCGGTCGAGTCCAACAGATCCTGGAGATTTCATTTTGAAGTGGTCTGTATGGTCGCAAATGAGCACAAATGGGCGCTGAAAAAGGATGATGGAGGAGAGTTCCATTGAGTCAAGCAATTCCTAGAGCGCGTGGCTGCCTGTAACATGTGTGGGTGGGGCCGAGTCTCAAGGCTCTCTTTTGGTCTGACGAACAGAAACTGACTACCATACTTACCCATCTAGACCAAGACAGACAAGGACCGAATTGCAACAGTTGCCGGGGCTTGAGTTCATGCATCGGCGGGAAACAGGAGCGGATCCCTGATAAGTCGCTCCATATCTTCTGTCTTGATGTGGATAGAAACATCAACCCCATTATCCGTCCAGTACTTCCCCAAAGGGCCTGATGCTTCTTTTATCAGTACATTTCCATCGATTTCCGGAACTACACCCTCAGCATAACGACACATGGATCCAAACCCAAAGTCAACGCCATATATCCCTGCTCGTGCCCAAGTCGTCACCAAGATATGCCGCCTACCCAAGAATGCTTGCCATATTCGTTGAGGAGACTTTTCAAACGCTAGGCTGTGCAGATGGGCGGCCATGTTGGAAGGTTCAGAGATCGTTTTGAGTGTGTTGCGGACTTGAGCCGCTACCTGAGTTATGCTAGATGGGTTGGCAACTTCGCAAGCAGGGAGTTTGATGTTCATCATAACGACTGGAGACCCGAGGAAATCTTCTTTGAGTTGAAAGGACGAGCGAACGCCGTAAACTAGATCGTAGTGAATTGGATCTGTGTCGTTTTCGAGACCGCGAGCGCGAGCGATGCAGGACCAAATGTGAGATAGTATTGCATCGTGCTGACTTAGCTTCTTTGGCGAATTTTCGTTCGACCTTTTCCAAAGACGCACCACCTGCTCTTGACTGAAGTGAACAACGTAGTTTGAAACGGGCTCGGAAACATTCCACTCGGCCCATGGCATTGGTTTGCCGGCAGGCTCAAGGTCTTGTTTGTCAAACGGCGAGCGGATCTTGAAAGGCCAAGGAGGCATCGAGTCTGGATGCCACCAGTCAAATCTATGCATTGGTAAAGCTTTTGCTCGCTGTATGATATCTAGTTCTGGTTCGTCGGCATCGATGTCTCCAGCCGCTTGGTTGTCGATAAGAGCAGGATTGAACACAGGCGTTGGAGCAGGAAGAGTATAACCAAAACCTTCACGGCTTTCTTGCGCCCAATGCTTGATAAAGGTTATAAGAGTCGTGGCGTCTGCCAGAGGATGGGCTCCATTGAGAGCAAGGGCAAAACCGCCGCAGGACAATTCGGTGATTTGAATGGCGAGTAGAGGCAGCAATTGTCTATTCTCGTCCTTTGATACGTCCTTTAGTGGCTGGGCAATGGCGACAGGGGCCATGAACCTTTGAAAGACACTGGAGTCGCATTTCCAGAAAGGCTGCTTTGAAGTCCTATCTGCGGGATATAAAGACTCAAGCGTAGCATCGCACTTAGCACGAACAAACTCCACGCCAGGATCGTCATCAGTTCCATAATGCGCATAAAGACGTCCGAACCGTCGAGCATGAGGCGGAAACGACTTTGCTTCTAGTGGGACGGTGCCATCTGTTGATTTCACAGCCTTCAGATGGCCGCCCCATTGCGGATAGAATCGAAGAGTCCGGGCTAGGGATTCCCGTAGATGGTAAGCTAAGTTGAAGTCATTGCGAGTGGGGGTTTCATAGAGCCATATGGCACTGGCGTTGGAGAAGTTGGCTGTTGTGCTGTCGAGGAGAGATAAAGGAATGGCTTGTTCCTGAGAGGTAGTAATGTTGAGGCGGTGGGATTCGACGACTGATATGTTGATGGGGGCCATGACTGAGTTTGGCGGTGTCACAAATTGTGCTGAACACATGAGTTTCAGTGTAATCACTGGAACAAGCAGGTATAAATATTTCGCAGTTCAGTGTTACCTTCGCGATCCACCCTGTCTAATCGGGGGTGTTCCGTTTTGGGATGATGAAATATGAATCATTTCGGCGAGCCTAATTAAGCAACTGGGTCGGATTGGCGAGCTAATCCAAAAGTCCTGAATAACCAGTCGTGCATCTCACAAATATGGTCTATGGCGTTTTCTATAGTCGTTATCGCGTGCCACAATCTATCGCAACTTCCGACCTTATCTCGACAGCCAGGAAAGAAGATTTCGAATAGAATGAACAGTCGCAACGTCGTGTTCTCGAAACACCCCATCCAATGTCGCACCTGAATGATCCTCAATCTTGCAAACCTTTCCCTTAGGACTCTCATTTGGTGATGACCGCCAATGCTTCAAATCGGCGACGTTGTCGCATTCGTCTTTTGGGTCGAGCAACACTGGGTTCCAACCTGCGCTGGCTGATCCAAGTACATCTTTCGAATAATCATCACCGACATACACCTTCTGCCATTTACTAGTCTCGCCTTCAGATTCACTCAAGGTCTTTCCGCTACGAGCGCTAATGATCTGGGCGAGCATGTGTTCTGCTGCGCTGAAGATGCGCTTATCTGGCTTCTCAACACCAACGTCGTACGACATACAATGGAAGTCAATGTTGTAACTCTTGTCGTTTAGCTCATTGGGAGCAGAATCGGTGCCGTATCTCAATGGGCTCACTGCAAGTCCTAAAGATGAGAGAATGCTGGGAATGCGATCATCCGAATTTGTGATGACACCAATCACAAGACTGTCGAAATTCCGAGGTGGATTCTGCTTCAACTTCTTGAAGGCCTCAACAAGACCCGATTCTGTCTCATAGCCCTCCTTTGAGGCAAATCGATGTAGCAGCCTCGGAGCTAGATCATTTGGCAGAGGTGTGTCATCTTTTGCTAAAGACGTGAATGTATTTTGAATAACCTGAGTGATGTTAGCCAGGTTGCTGGGCAAAGTTGTCATATACAAACATTGGTCCACCAACTAGTCGCTCCCAAACCCGTCTCTTTTCCATAATTAGGATTCTTCTTGGACTCCTGTTTGAAGGACGATTTAAAGGCAGTTTGTAGCTCATCGTTGTTGAAGTTGGTGAAACCGCATTGGCGAGCAACGTCCGCGTATTGCTGAGCAACTGGACGAACAGGTCTGATTAGAGTTCCGAATGCATCGAAGCATAAGAGAAGGTTTCGTTTTGACATGATTGGCTAGATCGTAAGAATTTCTATTGAAGGGAAAGGATCAAGTTACAGGTTCAAGAATGGCATCGTTTTTGGCTCCACCAGATGATTACGTCATCTGGGAACGCCGTTGATCATGGGAGCTGGATGGAACACAACATTCGAACCGGATATTATGAGAATAACAATATCGTATATGATCATAGTTAGCGCGCAGCAGTTCGGTATCAATAGAGCTCAGCAATCTTTCTACATAATTTTCAAAATATGTGGCATGTCAGAGCTGTCACCAGTTGGGTATTTCACAATTGCAAGTTGGGAATCAGTATGCCTGAATCTCTTTAACTATTTATGGGGGACTCTGAGTTTAAGATCTAGCTGTTTATCCATGTACTTATCCAGCAGTCAAGAAGTTCCGGACCTATCCATGTCCAAGTTCAACATCCTAAACTCCTTGTGCCGTGCTTGCGCATTTGTCTTGTGACTTCTTTAAGTCTAGCCTAGACTCCGTTACCGATAATAAAAGGAAGATGGGGATGTGTTGCTTTCCTATGCCGTTTACATACGAGGCTGGATCAGGTACTGGCGCATGCCCGAGTTGGGAGCCTTGCCCAGAGTCTTGATGTTCAGGTCCTGACCCTTGGTGATCTCATGGATCTCGGCCTCTCCACGCTTCCAAGAGGGAAACATGGTATAAACCGTGCCCTTCTGAATGAAGAAGTCCGCATAGCGGTGACAAATCATATCGTGCTGAGCGACTACTTTGAAGTAGTGCATGGAGTTGTCGAGCTTGGATTCATAGGTCCAAGCGATGCGAGGGTTGGCATCGATATCGGCGTGGTTCTGAATACCTTGAAGGTAGGAAGTGAAGAATGCATCGTATGCCTTGGTTTGGTACGCAGCATGAGTGGACGAGGCTTCAGTGCCGGAGGGACCATCCTGGCCGACGATCAACTTTGAGTGGGGAGATCCAGAGAGATGCTTCGAGAACTCATTGCATCGGTCAACACACATCTGGTCTGGAGCATTGAAGAAGATTGAACCGAGCGACAAGAAGATGCGTGGGTTGGGGAGAGTAGCGAAGTACTTGTCACCCTGGATGAAGTTACCCCACAAGCCAATGCAGGTGATTTGAGGGAAGTCGGCGGCGGACTTGTTGACGTGGTTGGTCAGAGACTCCTTACAGAGATCCAGAGCGATGTAGATGCAAGGCTTGCCCTGCTCGATGAAAGCCTGGACATAGGGAACGAACTTTCGGGAGTTAGCGGCTCCAAGGTCGATGATTACAGCACCGGTAGCTGGCATGTCTTTAACCACGTCGGAAGCAGTAGACTTGATGATGTTGAGCTCATCTGTCGTCTGGTACGAGGTGTCGGCAATCTGGCACCAATGGTGCATGCCGGTAGTGTATGCAACCTCCTTTGGGAAGTAGCCCTCTCCCTTGAAGGCGCTGGGTAGCTGAGAGTCAAAAGTGGTATCGAGAGTCGATCCACCGATGTCGATGATCTCCTTGTGAGCTGGAGCCCAAGACTTGGTGTACAGAGGAGACATGTCTTAGGATGTCAGATGGGATGAAAGTTTCGTTCAGTGTTTTGAGAAGGAAGGTATTCTGTAGAGGAAAGATGAAGGGTTCTTCTGATCAAGGGTATTGTTGATAGAAGGTTAGGTGAAGGATGGGATGGTTGACTGTTGTGGTGAGGAAAGCAAGAAGTCTAAGTTCCTGGAGATGAGATAGGAATTTATACGAAAGAATTTCTAAAGAATTTCAGGAATATTCAGAGGCTGTTCTGCACTTGTTCTTCTATTCTGCCAGTGCCAGAGGTTTTGCGGCCGCATTGCCAATGGTTACCGTGGTGTTCGAGCCGTTTGTCCAGAGACAGTGGAGGTGAAGCCTCTGACACTTGCAGCTAGGTCCCGCATCAGTACTGACACTGCCGTAATAGCTTTTGTTGTTCAATGGATTGTTAATAATGTGGCTTAGAAGTTTTTTTTGGGAGTGTCTGGGACTTTGAGAAAAGCGAGATGTGCATTGCTTGCGAACACTATAACTCTCTGTGATATCAGAAGTACCAAATCTATACTTGCGTAACATAACACTTTGCGAATCAATGTCTATTGCTTAAGCTATTCAGTACAGTAGCAAAAGTTCAAGACTAAGCCTTGTTGTCTCCCAAGCCCCTGAACTAAGTCTCATCGCGATACTGGATGGAACCCGTACATCGTTTATCCCGCCAGGTCTGTATAAACACGTAGACTTGTAAAAACACGAAAGAAGGATTGCGAGAATTTGATCAAAATTATCTTACTCAATGTAAGGTTGGAATATCACAGCAAGCTGTCTAGCTGTCTAGGAGGGCTGACCAAAGCCCCAACTCAAGAGAATCCCCTCAGAGAGCAAGAAAACGCCAGACTTTAATTTAGGATTATCAAGGCAAACTCAAAAAAAAGTATCATAAACATAACAATCGACCAATAATAATTTACCTAGGTATCTTTGTCCTTGAGTGTCAAGGTTCTGAATTTTCTTTCTTCCCCTAGAGAACCAGCCATGGAGAAGGCACTTCATTACGAAGATTTCTACGTATTAGATGGAAATAGAAAATACCCAACATTGTTCAAAATGGTTCTCGGTCGATTATCAGTGGTAGTCAAAGAAAAGGTCATTGGCTCGGCAGACGTATATCACAGTGTTCAATCATAGACCTGCGAAGTTCGACAGGCTTATGAGAATACGAAAGGCTTCTGGAAAGACTGGATAAAAATAAATTATTGACGAACTGGCTAATGCCCATCCCCTTTCAAATCTAGCCGTTGTTCAGTGTTCTTGGCTTTAAGCTGTCTTGACCCGGCCAAATGTCCAATATTCGTTGCAGGGTAGATGCACTCAGATGGATGTCTTGACATAGCGGAAAATTGTCAAAGTCAAAATACGAATAATATGCGAGATCTACGGATGGGGGGCCCTGAATTACACGGTCGCATCGATCGTGGCGATCATCCGATCGACGTTAGCATTGGGCGGCCTCTGGACAAAACTGGTTTTGAAAGACGATGACTTCGTTGAAAGACTGTGATAGAACCTTAACAGAGGCTCACCCAAAACTTAATCGTGACTGTTAAGATCTTACTACAAACTGTGCCGCCACTTGCGAAATACTCGTCACCAGAAATGCTGGACGTGTGGCTGGGTTCACCATCAGGAAGCTCACGCCACAGGGTCTCACGACAGGATCAATGTGCTATTAAGTCATGGAGAAGTCATTGCGCGTTAGTGGCAGCTCCCAAGAGGTGATCAGCGGTGGCTGAGGGGTTCCAAGTTGCGACCAGGTTAAATGACCTCATCACCCTTCGTCATATGCAACGTCTATCCTTCAATAAGCCTGATTGACATTTGAACCGTTATCTCGCCGTTTCACTCAGTTTAATTCTGTCTGTGAAACCTTCAGTAATTACTCACGACTACAGTTGTTCATCTTCACACAATGTCGATACAGGATGATCACCCCTTTGGCAAAGACAAAGAGAAGCGCTCAAAATGGAAGATCTTTAGCTCCTCAAAAGACAAGGAGAAGGACAAGGACAAAGACAAGCGCAAAAGCCAGGAACTTCAAATTCCAGAAACAGCAGAGACTTCAAACGATTCAACATATGGAAGCAGTGAACCAAACAACTCATTGACAACAGAAGGCGATCTGAGCAACACAAAGAGTAACAGCGGATTGAGTCCAGGGAAGACCCCAGACACTGCGACGCCTACTCCAAACCTCAACCCAAATTCAGGGCCAGACTCTTACATCAGCCCGACGATCAAAAGAGAGACGGTGACCAATCCAAATACTGGACAGACAATCACCACTACAACGACGACTACAACTACTACCACGACCGTCACGAACTCCAATGGCACGACCCAAACAATTGAGGAACCTCGTCCTGTTATGGAGCTACCAACCGTCAGCAACCAAGACGTCACACCATCCCCGCATCCACCGCCTGTAGCACAACCCGAGCCCGTACAACACATAACGCCCACGCCTGTTGAACCATCCCCAATTACCCCAACAGCACGTCGCAAGAGTCTAGAGACTCCAGGCCGACGCCTAATTCCGCCTCGCGACCCGATTCCCTCTCAGATTTCCAGCTCAGATAACAATTCACCCGCAATTCCAGAGCGAAACGCCCGGCGCTCGGCGGAGTTCGTTCCAGCGCCTTTACAAGTTGGCCAGGGCGCTTTTCCACCCCCGCCTCCGCCTGGAGATAAGCCTTCTACTGTGAATTATTCCCGACCTGCTAATAAATCGACAATTGCGAATTTGAAGTCCGCCGCCGCTGGTATTCATGTAAGCCCCCTTCAGTTGAGCTATCTCAATTGATACTGACGAAAGCTACAGGGCGCCGGTGAAACTCTTCGCGGAACACTAAACTCCAGCGTCGACAAACACTTCGGCGGCAACCCCCAAGCAATTGAGAAGAACCAAGCAGCCATCGACGCAGGCCGCTACGAGATCGACAACCGCACATTCTACCACCCAAACGAATACCGTCTAACACGACCAGAAGGCTCCGGTCCATCGTCCGACAGGCCGCCAATTCCCGATGCTCAATTCGACGACCCGCCGTTCAACATGGGAAACACAACAGGGAGTCCTGCGGTGACGGATAACGAGAGGGAGAAGAGAAATAGCAGATTGGGAAGTTTCTTTGGTAAGAGTGGAGGACGGTCGGCATCGCAACCTGGTGCTGATGCGACGCCCAGGGCTGAAAGGGGGAAGTTGAGAAAGAGGAGCAGTTCGGGGCCGGGGACGCCGAAGTTGAGTGTCGTGGGGGAATAATAGTAACGTGCTACGGGAGTTTTATCGTATATCTAGGTTAATGCCACATTACGTACTCACCACGTTGACATTGATGGCTGACCTTCTGTAATGCTCACACGACTTGACGTTTTGACCTATCCATGGTGTTGAAGTATTCTGAAGTCAAGGCACGAAAGTCCATAGCGCCAAAGTTCATTATTGGTATCTGAAGATATTAAAGAGATCTAAAAACCTTGAATGTCCGACTAGTTTGAAACATAATGAGCGACATATTCAACTTCCATATGGTTTCCAATTCCATCCTTGGTGCTGGAGTTAGGAACACCAGGCTATAATCTTGTCAGTCAACATCTTACGACTTCGGATTTTTCAACTTACCCAATCTCCACCAACGGCAACGTTGAAGATGACAAACATGGGACTATGGCAAAGGGTCTTCCAAACTGTAGCATTGCCAACTTGAGCGCCTGTAACGCGATGAAAGACCGTTCCATCGAGATACCAGGTAATAGACTGAGATCTCAGATTGCTGCTTCGTCGATCAAACTGGACCCGCCAGACATGAAACTTGCTATCAGGAAGTGGAACATTCGACGCAATACCATTGGGCTCACTGCAGATTCCGCCAGGTGCTTTATCACAGTGAACAGCACCGTAGCCAATCTTCTGCCCGTTGACATTCTCCATGATATCAACCTCTCCGCAAGCAGGCCACTCAACCCCCTTTCGGATCGCATCACCAAGGAGCCAAAACGCTGGCCAGATCCCCTGCTTACTCCTCGCAGAGTTACCTCCAAGACGCAAACTCGCTTCAACTCGAGTGATCTTTCCAAGCTTGGGCGTGAGGGTATACGTGCTCTCAATACGACCGGACGTCCATTTTTTCGTTTTGCTGGACAGCTGGGGAATCAGCTGCAGCGTGTTCTTGCCAGATAGTCGAAGAACACTTGTGCTTTTGACATAGGCTTGGACTTCATTGTTGTAGTTCTTTACGCGCTCGATGATGTTCCATGTACTTGTGCTGGGGAGTGTGTTGGCTTGGCCTTCGAAGCCTTGCTGCCAGACGCGCGTGTAGCCGCTGTAGGTGGGTGGTTGTGTTGCCACTGCGATAGCGAACAGACACGTGAAGACGGTAAGGATCCAAGGAGAGAACATGGTGAAGAAATTTTAAAGATAATAATAAGGGGAAGATAAGGAAAGGAATGCTGCGGTGTTGCCGCGCAAAGGGGAAAGGGGAGATAGTGCAAAGCGCACTTTAAGGAGAGTCGTCACAAGTTGGTGAGAGTGAAATACCGTGAACACCATCTTTTTCCAGGGAAATCCCCTTGAATATATAGATTCCCCATCTCCTTTAAGCTTACGAATGCCATGTCGGTCTAGAATGCTAGACGCCGTTCTGATAACAATAGCTTGGTGTCTGGAACATGTCTAACGCTGGTTTCAATCCTTAGATCCAACGTGGGCTAACCCGGAACAGTGAAGCTAAGCCAAACGCAGCGCATTTCTCAACGCCACCATCTTCAATAGTCTCGTTTCTTTGATTGAAATATTGAAAATTTGTGGAATTGTGGCTTGAAGGACGTGGGCTACTATGGAATTAAGCTTCGGTCCCTGATTCCAGGGCAAAAAAAAGGTTAATGGATCTGGATAAGCGCTGCTGCGCATGCAAGGAACGCGTCACTCCATTGGATTCATGGGAATGGTCGAGGAATTGGATGGGAGTCTGGGCTTCTGAGA